CCAAATATCGATTCATTTTTGCTCTCTTGACTCAGTTTGTACAGGCCAAATATATTTATATCATTCAATATAGAAGAGAGTTAGAACAGCCTGGACATTTAATGTCCAGGCAAAATGACCTATCAGTGCTATGTGCAGAAACCGTGTTGCTATATGCAAAATGTGACCCGTTCAATTTTGTGAGGGATTAAAGTTTTACTATAATGAAAGGCTTTTCCTTCCATCGTATATAAGGTGCCACTGAGAATAATCAGCGTCATGTTTCGTGTTTTCAGCTCCTATTTTAGTGTATATTCATTATTATTTTTTATATATTATTCTGTTGTTTCTTTCTGGAAATTAATATTTCCTACTGGGTTAACGATATTTTTACAGTTAAGCTGTAAGAATTTTGGGCGTAATATGAATTTTACCGTGCGATTTTGAGTTGTTTTGTCATTGTTTAATGCTTCAGTTCTCGCCTGAAACCAACTTATGCTCAAATTTTTTCGGATTGGATTCCTGTATTAAAGCCAAATCTGGCGCAGCGATATTAACCAGGTTACAGCGTCAGTATATTGGCTCTATCCCTTCCTGCATTCTTACCTCGGCAGCGTCAGTATATTCGCTCTATCCCTTCCTGCATTCTTACCTCGGCAGAGTCAGTATATTGGCTCTATCCCTTCCTGCATTCTTACCTCGGCAGCGTCAGTATATTCGCTCTATCCCTTCTTGCATTCTTACCTCGGCAGCGTCGGTATGTTGGCTCTATCCCTTCCTGCATTCTAACCTCGGCAGCGTCAGTATATTCGCTCTATCCCTTCCTGCATTCTTACCTCGGCAGCGTCAGTATATTCGCTCTATCCCTTCCTGCATTCTTACCTCGGCAGCGTCAGTATATTCGCTCTATCCCTTCCTGTATTCTTACCTCGGCAGCGTCAGTATATTCGCTCTATCCCTTCCTGCATTATTACCTCCGAGTCTGTATATTGGCTCATCATCAGTATTGGAGCAACAGTATATTGGTATATAAAAGGATACTGAAAATGCTGCCACAACGCCATTTATAACTCAGGGACAACTCCGTTCTCTGTTATTGAACGGAGTCTCCATCGTTACTCGCGTCCTTCAATGTCCAGTTCTGGAACGAACGACGGCTAAGGGAGTTGTTCTCAATGCGGAACAGGAGCACGCGGGTTGTTCATTTTCTTATGGTTCAGTTTCCTTGCATAGATGAAGCAATAATATCTACAGTATTGTTCCATGAGATTATGGGTAAATGTTTAAAAATTGAGTGAGAGTTCAATGTTGCTCGATTGCTTGAAAAGCAGATTCATTTGAATTAAAAAAATAACATATAAAAATTCTGCGAAATATATCATATCCTTATAGATAGCGTTCGAAGTCCAGCTCCATCGTAAGTTTGAAAATTCTAGAACAATGATACAATCGGTACTTATTACAGTTGCAATCATAAAAAACACAAATGTTGAAACCTAAATTAACAAACATGAGACGAAATATTGAAACAAGAGAAAAAATAAACGAAGAGGCTGAACTTGTTCATTCACAATTTCAAGTGCATAAGAGCCAAAGGCTATATTTAGAGTCTCTGTTCGAAAATATTCAATGATTCTAAAATAAGGGAATCGGAAGAACCGGAAAGTAAATCTAAAATCATAAAGTCTCTATCTGACACTGGAAAGTTACACTGCTCGGCGTAAGTGCGCACAAAAGGGGACTGCTGGTGAGTTTCCAGTCCTAAAATTCTACTCTTTATATTCCACCGGGCTCGAAAAAATGTCATGCAACGTCATACCAAACGTACGCTGATAAAAATCGCGTACAATTTTATTTATAAACAACGACGATCGCTTATGAATCGAAGGAATATCTTTATATCTAAATAAGAGCATATTCTAAATTATTCAAGAAGTGTGAAGATAAATCTTTCCCCTCATGGTGGCCCAGTGGTTACAGTTCAGAGTATCAAGATTAGAGCAGAGAGGTGCAAGTTCGATCCCAGCTCGGTGCGCAAGTTTATGGTCATAATCTGCGAAAGACCTGTTATTATTCCTATTATTATTGTTATTATTATTGCATTATTATAAATAATTATTATTATTATTATAACAACCATTTGGGGAGTATTTTACGAACAAAACTTTTAATTGTTTTTTATATAGTTTTGGACGCATTGCCGAAGTATAGAAAAAAATAAACAACGTTTCTTTAATGCCCTCGGGAACAAACAATCTCACTGTATCTCTCGGACGTGGATTGGATTTCTTCAGTTTGGAAAGCAGCAGGTTTCGGCTTTAGTATTTGTTCTACAGTCCTTGCTATGCACGTTTAATTAGAATTTTAGCGCCATATCTTCTCACCTAATGGATTTCCGTCTAACATTGCACCATGCAACCACTCACCACTGACGAGTAATTGCCACTCACCACTGGCAAGTAAGCCACTCACCACTGGCAAGTAAGCCGCCCACCACTGGCAAGTAAGCCGCCCACCACTGGCCAGTAAGCCACTCACCACTGGCAGTACGCCACTCACCACCGCTGGCCAGTAAGCCACTCACCGCTGGCCAGTAAGCCACTCACCGCTGGCCAGTATATAAGCAACTCACCACTGGCCAGTAAGCCACTCACCACTGGCTAGTAAGCCACTCATCTCTGGCTAGTATAAGCAACCTACCGTCACCACCCACCAGTTATGTAGTCACTGGCTTTGCCCCCAGTGGCTTTTGCCGTTGAGTGTTTACAGGTTTTAGCTCACAAATTTCAACTTTTCGCTTCATTACGCGTCCTCAGGAGCGCAAAAATTTGTCTAGGCGAAGTCGTCGCTTGAAGAGAAAAATCTGCATTGTTGTTTTTCTGTGGAGGGAAATGGTGCGACCGTAGAGATTGTAGTTAATAATTTTTTTGAAATTTTATGCGTAAAAATTTCGCCTAAGGCAATTTTCCTGGAGACGTCGGCTCCCTCCAAAAAATTCTCTGGCGTCCTAATCTTGTCTCTTCTTTGTTTAGTACTTTGGACATTCAGCAAGATAAATCTATCTTTCAGCCGGTAGTTATATTGCTCATGTATGTTGGAGGTTTCCTCTGTAACTGATTTCGGCTGCTTTTATTGCAGGCCGACTTTGTCATGTCTCTGCACAGCTCTAAACGCATGTCATGTCTCATCGCATCTCTGAGCGCATGTCATGTCTCATCGCATCTCTGAGCGCATGTCATGTCTCATCGCATCTCTGAGCGCATGTCGTGTCTCATCGCATCTCTGAACGCATGTCATGTCTCAGCGTAGCTCTGAACGCATGTCATGTCTCTGCACGGCTGTCTGCTTGTCTCTGAAGTGACGCAGAGCATTAACGCGTTAAGTGCTGCTCGTCCTTGTTAATTCCAATGGGAATTAGTTAAGCTGGAGGCCTGAGCGTCGTTGTCATCTTGATTGCCTGACGCTGACATCAGTTCAGCTCTATTGTGACTACGACAAATGATTGATTAAACATTGATCAAATTGATTGATTGATCATTGATCAACATATAACGGCCACTTATTCGGCATTGATCAAAATGCATTTCATTACAAGCATGATTTGTCCTTTTGAGAGTACAATGAGAAATTCAGGAATGCTGTGTACAATAGTGTTTTGCGTATAGAGGATTTAAATTTAAATAATCGAAAAAGTTTTTTAAAATATCGGGGTTTTAAAATTAATTATTATAGAAGATGGAAATTTTAGCATTTGATTTTGTAATCCGAATTTTTATCGTTGTTTTTAGGGAAGATTTATTAGCAATACTTAACTTATCGCAATATCTTAATAGCTACGAGCATCTGTATATACTTCAGTCCTCAATCCTGCCATTCATCAAAGGATATATCCACTTTCAAGACTATTTTGCATAGCATCGGTCCTCAAATCTGAAATTGAAATTTAAAATACCTATTCTCCTCACTTTCACAAGCATTTTGCGCATTTTATACCTCAAACCACGAGCTTAGCATACCTACTCTCTTTTCAACAAGCACAGACAAATTATATATTAATTCATCTCGAATGAATGAATTGGTGTAGTGGTCTCGATTGGATTGAATAATTTACAATCAACCAGTTGTGAGTAAGATATTCTATTTACTTATTAGCGTCATTACCTACAATCAATCAATTGTCAGTAAAATATGTTTTTATTTGTAAGCGTCAGTATTACCATATATGTACAATTATAGGTTCAAAAATCACTTCCATGAGCCGTATATGCGAGTTAGGAATGAGCCTCTCCAGGTAAATGTTCACACTTGATATTTTAAACAAAATTCTTAGCATTGCATGCTGATGACTTCATCTTTGATGGTCCAGCCAAGGTCAATTCATTACAAATAAATTGCAATAAATGCAAATACTCTTTATTTATATCAGAAGTCATGTGGCTCATAACATCATTGAGCTCAAAAAGACATAAGTTGGTGATTAATTAACGGTTTCACTATAAATTTCGTTCTTAAATGTTGATGGATGAATGGAATGCATTGTTTACGATGTGCCTGGGCATTTTAGCTGCCGAATAATAGTAGCATCATTTTCTTATTTACTTATATATTTACTTATTTACCATATGTATTTTTACATATATGTTATTACTTTTTATCCATTTAATTTAGAAGATTACATTTGGCCAATATTACAATAATTATAGTTCTATTCCTCCCAAATTCTTGTACCAAACTTCTCATGCTCCGTTCGGTTGTCCCGCTACTCCAGTAATTGGAAAATAAATCTTTAGGCATTCAAACGATGTGCTTTTCCTCTTATTATACTAACAAACATAAAGTAGAAGGCTGCCATATAAAGTTCATGGAATGTTGTAGTAGAGCTTTCCGTGTTTATAGTATGGCTCAACTGTCAAAAAAAAAGAATGACCATTGACTATTGGACGACTAAAGAAAGAATTCCACACATTATTTCGAATAGAAGAAGTGAAATGTAGAAGAAAAATGAAGTGATTTTTCAGAAGATGATGGACAAGCTTTTTTACATTGCTCGCTACGAGGCTCTAGGCACTATTTTTATCGCAGGCGCTAAGGTAAAAAAGGTAGTAATGTTAAGAAAATACGTCAGGCAGAACTGGTTTCAGGCATAGCAAGTGTAGAAGAAACTGCCGAGAACGTATACAATATAAAGATATTAAAGTGTGCGCAACGATCCTGGCACTAAAGAGTAAAAGCTTTCTCTCATAGTTTCTTTGATCAACTCAGAACAATAATTTGTCATTTCATTTGCTTCATTACAACAAATGTTGCTGAATGTCGTATTTTTTTACAAGTACCGATCTCTTCTGTGTTTACGTCTTAATTGTTCATGACATCAACAAAATGTTGGACACATTTTAATCTGCGCAGCTTTTTCCGGCAAAATATTAACCTCAATCATGATCATCGTATCTTGAATAACGCAAATCATTAACTTTCGTCCCCGACAAATATTGAAGGCTCGATGTTTATCGGCAAAATATTCGCTTCTTGTCTGTCTAAAAATCTATATTTAAATGAGTGGGCGAAGGCCTCCAGAAGTTTGCCAGCTCGCAGTCGCTGGAGGAATGATTGCCACTCAGGTCAATAATCCCTTTCAATTTAACTTTAATGTGCCCATAATGCGATCCTAATTTAAGTTTAATTATCCCAAGAGGCTCAAAACATTCGCAATTTATTTATTTTTTGCCCGTGCCAGAGACTGGCGCAAATAATAAAGATAAGCGCCGTCGTTTTTGAACGCACAACTGGAGGCCAGCTGGCGTCGGGAACTGACTGCCAGCTGGCGTTAAGGACTGGCGGCCAGCTGGCGTTAGGGACTGGCGGCCAGCTGGCGTCGGGGACTGACTGCCAGCTGGCGTTGGGGACTGACTGCCAGCTGGCTTCGGGGACTGACTGCCAGCTGGCGTCAGGGACTGGCGGCCAGCTAGCGTTAGGGACTGCCGGCCAGCTGGCGTTAGGGACTGGCGGCCAGCTGGCATCGGGGGGCGGCCAGCAGGTGTCGGGGGGCGGCCAGCAGGTGTCGGGGGGCGGCCATCTGGCGTTGGGGGCTGTCGGCCAGCTGGAGCAGGGGGGCGGGCCCCTAATTATGCTCGTATCGGCAGTTCTCTCATCCCAACTTCGCGGCTCGAAGGCTAGAGCGATAATTTAAATTGCAAAATAATAACGTGAGATTTATTCCTGATTTCAGAATTATTATTTTAAACGCCAGATATTTTTGGTTGGAAATATCTGGCGTTTATTTGATTGAACATTTTAAAGCTCTATTTGATCTTTAGATTGTTTCTTCCTCGAATTTAATCGTAGCGATAAAGAAAAAGGAAGAAAGCGGCCTTTGGCAGCTTTGCTACCGTTGACCTTGAGTCTGTCTCTTATACACATCTAGATGTGTATAAGAGACAGGTGCTGCCAAGTGCGATTCTGAGGGCTGTGTTTTGTATGNCGGCTGGCTGCTGCACCACTCAAGGTCAACGGTAGAAAGGCTGCCAAAGGCCGCTTTCTTCCTTTTTCTTTATCGCTACGATTAAATTCGAGGAAGAAACAATCCAAAGATCAAATAGAGCTTTAAAATGTTGAAAGCAAACAGCCTAAAACTCCGAGCTCTAATTAGATTGTTTTCGTTCCTCAAACGAAAATATCTTTATAAGAGAAAACGTTGCGGAGTCCAGCTCCATCGTCTGTTCATAACACAAAATTCTGTTCAGAAAAAGTTCAGTCCTAGAAACACATATAAATCAATTAGTAAAGTAGAATGCACTGTCAGGTTTCAAAACGGAAAATAAATAAATAAGACAGGAAATTAACGCTAGTAAACGGCCTATCTATTTACTATTTCAAGAGGAAAGGAGCTCAAAACGGCATTCAGAATAGGCTTCTGTTTGAATATATACAGGGATTCTAAAATTCGTAGATCACTAACACCGGATGCTGAAGCTAGAATTTTGAAATCACTATCAGATACAGAGGTGTTGCACTGCTCGGCATGAACACGTACAGCAGAATGAAGTGGATGTGCAAGTAGGTTCCCTGTTCTATAACTCCTGCCCTTATGCTCAGCCAGCCTAGTATAGAAATTGCGTGCCGTCATACTGACGTACGCGGATGCGCACTGCGCACAACTATATCTGTAAACTAGTGACGATCGCATAAGAATAGGTAGGGTATCCTTGTACCTGAAAAACGAGCCGATTCTAAAATTGTTAACCAGCAACACATGAAGATTTACATCCGGAAGATATTTAGCAAATAAAACTGCAATGGTTTTACGGAACCTGCATTACGGAAGGGAACCTGCATTAAGCAAATGCAGGTTCCGTTCATAAGCTGCACTCAATGTAATCATGAAAATCAAAAATCAAGATTTTTCTTTTTTGTTCCAAATCCACTTCTTTGAAATTAAAGAAATATGTTCAGAATCTGCCGTTTGAAAACTATTTACGTTACCTGTCTTAGTTTCTTGAACTTGTCACAGATAACAAAAGTAAATCCCGTCAAAGATAACCCCGGTACAAGAAAAAAATATTTGTATCAATGCCAATAAAAAACGCTACCGAGCGCCATCATGGACTCAAACTTAAGTTTTAATTACGTTGTCTGTTAATGATGGTGCATGCAATATTAGTTTTGACGATGCTAGAAATAACAGAAATAACGGCCGAAAGAAAGAAATAACTAAATAAACACAACCGAGCCACAAATAAAACAGAGCTATCAAGAAAACAGAAGAGCGGTGGCAACAACAGGAACGTCGATTACAACAATTGCAATTTTGACGGCACACAAATGCCGGTATTCCTTCTTTGTGAGGCGCAGCACTTCGAAGTTTTCGTGCACTTTATATGAAGCTGCTGCCTATGGTCCGATTTTTTCTAACATGCGCGTAACTTTAAACAGGGAGTGCAGTCGCCGTAGAGTTGAGCACGCGAGTTACTGTAAACAAGGAGTGCAGTCACCGTAGAGTTGAGCACTCGAGTTACTGTAAACAAGTAGTGCAGTCACCGTAGAGTTGAGTACGCGAGTTACTGTAAACAAGGAGTGCAGTCACCGTAGAGTTGAGTACGCGAGTTACTGTAAACAAGGAGTATTCTCCCGTGGCCGTGACGAGGATGACGTGGCACATCACGAGCACGTCGCCATCACAATGCCTACGTTTGAAGCACTTGCGTTTCACGTCTTTGTCAAAAACTGCGTATGCAATGAAACGTCTCGACGGACTATAAGTTAAAGTCATCACTAGCGGGCGTTTCTATTTCAAAGCTCATTTATTCTTTCAGATGAATAACATCAAAAACATTGCTATTGATATGATTCGCTGAAAAAATATTAATTCTAAAAAATCTATGAAAAAATATCTAGGTAGAATCCCCATACATCTTAGTGATACCTTTTTGTAAGCTTGTATTGCTGTTCCATTTATCGCAGCGGCGATGAGAATTATGGTCAAGTTTACAGAAGGCTTCCGGTGCTGGCTTTTCTAGTTTGCGCTCAGTGAACAGAGCTTCTGCGCGCCGCTCATGAACTCTACGGGAAATTTACTAAAGTTTTCCCCGACCCATGGAGCAGGGATCAACCTCCGCAACTATCGCTCGAATTTCCTTCTAATATCACGAAACTTTAACGAGAATTTTGCTTGACTCCAGGAGGAATAATAAGCAAACAAATGCCGGATATCTCATATTTTCAATTGATCATTACTGAGCTTATATCTTGAAGTTCGAAAACAATTTACTGCCTTTTAAATTAGTCTTTTATAGTTTTTTACTTTTTCACGTTGCTTAAATTATGTATTTAGGTAACGATACGTATATCAACGCAGTTTATATACGTAGGCACGGTATGGTAGTTGCATGGCTGAGCATTCTGAGTGTGAGTAAACTGTTGTCTGAACAGTAAATTGTAAACTGTTGACTGAGTAAATTGTAAATTGTAGGCTAAATAGTAAACTGTTGTCATTATTAATAAACTATTGACTGAACTGTTCACGGTTAACTGAGCTGTAACTACATTTAATTCTCGTTACTGTCTTCATTCCTTGTTTCATCGTTGTAAAAGAATTTACAGAGGACGATAACTCTCTGCGTAGGGAGGCAAAGTGGCCCAGTGGTTACAGTTCAGAGTACCAAGATTGGCGCAGAGAGGTGCGGGTTCGATCCCAGCTCTGTGCGCCAGTTTCTGGTCAGAATCGGCAAGGAGGCCGGGCGGTTGAGCACAGCAGAATTTGAATCAGTGAGTTGTGAGTTCGAGACCGCAACAAGCTGTGGATGTTCTGCGATGTTCAGAATCGGCGACAGGCCTATGGCCTAATAAATCCTGAAACCGCTATAATACCTTACAGAGCTGTCTTTTTAAACTTCACAGTAAATTGTTAGCTGTACAGTAAACTCTTAATCATGCCGCACATATTATTTATATACAGTAAACTGTTGCAGTATACAGTCACTGTGTTCTCAACTTTTTAGTGCAAAACAAACTGTTAGCTGTGCTGACAACTGTAAACTTTCAACTGTACAGAAAACTGTGCGCTGTTCAGCAGCTCTGTGTCAATGGTTATGGAGCTTGAGTTCAATATGGCGGTGGATGACCTCGTTGATGTTGATTTGCATGAACTCGCCAGCCTCGCATGCATCTTTCATCCGAGGAACAAAGGATATTGGGCGAAGGGACGGGCCATCGAGACGCACGGCCGCTTCTAAACAAAATTTTGGCCGGAAAACTAAGCAATTGCATTATATCCTTGAACTTCCCGGTAGCTGCTGCTTCAATCGCGTTCTTTCAGAACTTTTAAAATGGAATATTAAGAGACGGCAAGAAATTTCAACATTTTATTCAGAGCATTTACACAGCCTCGCAGACATGCCAAATTTTTTTACCTCTAAGTGGCCTTCATTGTCTTTCTCTGGTCTATAGAAGTTCAAATTCCTTGCTGTTGGTGCGCGAGATATTCATCTTTTATTCGTTTATTTATTTAATTTATTAATGTTATTCAATAACATTTATTTAATTATAATATCCTCAGTGAAGTGAATGAGACTTTGACCAAATATCGATGCATTTTTGCTCTCTTGAGTCAGTTAGAGGCTAAATTTATTTATATCATTCAATATAGAAGAGAGTACTCACCTGCTAGCGCCGACTCGTTTTATGTAAAATAAAAGTTCAAATTTTCTTTTGCTTCGTAGTTCGCGAATTGGAGAAGCAAAACCCGTGATATTGGCGCAATTTAAGTGCAGAAAATCACTTATAATTAACAGTATACATTACACACGTCGCCTCACACAGCGTCTCGTGTACCGCTGTATACATTACACACGTCGTCTCACACAGCGTCTGCACCGCGCCTCGTGTATCGCTTCATCGCGCACACGCTGCAGCCTGGACACTCGGCCCGCCTCAACGTCTACGGCCCCCCCACCGTGCGCCCCATGGGGCCTCTCACTGCGGTCGCGGGCCTCACCTTCCGCGTGGCCTGTCCCGTGGGGGGACATCCCATACACAAAATTACCTGGCACAAAGGTAGCAGAGATGCATAATTCTACTACATTCCCTTTCTTTGTGGGAATAATTTATTCTATATTAGTAAAATTCATGAAAAATTCAATCGCTCCAATGAAATATGTTAGAATTCTTTGAATTCAGGTCCCGAAATTAGAAAGCTGTCTTGTACAAAGTTTCGATGCAATTCCTTCCACTATCTCAGTTCGGGAGTATTAGACAAGATGTCGAGAATAGAATTGGTGCAAGTTACTTTAGACCAGGCATAATTTATGAACGTCAGCATGACGTCTTTTTCATATGTAAAATACTTACGCGTTGTTTGTCTACAGACGAACAGCTGTTGCCCCTTAACCACAACCAGATGGTGTTCGACAACGGCACTCTGACGTTAACGGAAGTTAACCGAAAGACAACAGAAGGCCGTTATTCCTGTTCAGCTTACGACAAACAGAACAATTCAGATCAAGGACACTTCGATCTTAAAGTCGTCGGTGAGTGAATCACAAGAAATAATTGAAAAACGTAATTCCATAGCCGTCACCTACTTTAACACAATAATCGATTACCTTTTAGCTGTACCGAGGAATATGTCATCTTCTCGACTAGATAAAGCATAAAAATTCTGGTAGTCTAGGGATAGTGAAAATGGGTTTTGTTCGCATTTACTTTCTGCTCTGAGAGAACTACGGCTCTAGAGCATTTTAAATGCATTTTCTTGCCTTCATTAGTACTTATATTATCAGTCTGCTTATATTGCAAGTTCAGAAGGAATTTAAAAGCAAAGAAAACACCAAGCAAATTCACCATATTGATATGGCGAATTTGCTTGGTGTTTTCTTTGCTTTTAAATTCTTTGCCTTCATTTCAGTGCCTCCTCATCTTGGGCCCCTGGTTTTCCCCTCGGGGACCCGTGCTGGCATGAGGGCACAGAGCTCCTGCTTCGTACAGGAAGGAGACCTGCCGCTCGAAATTCATTGGGAAAAAAATAGCCAGAGGTTGCGCTTGTCCGCTAACGTCAAAGTCAATCAACTGGACGACTTCACGTTCATCCTGACCATCACTGAGGCCGTGTCGGAGGACGCTGGCAACTACTCCTGTGTAGCCACGAACGCTGCTGGAGCCGTGGCAACTTTCGCTGTGCTTACTGTCAACGGTGAGAATGAGTATCTCGTATAATTTAATGGGAACTACGCAAAAATTACGAGATTTATTCTTAATCATTGGATCGTCTGACTATGACAATCCAGCAAAAAACTTCAAACGATATCAAGCTTACGCATGGATGAATTCATTGCAAATACATCAACTAATCTTAAAGATTAGTTGATGAGAAACATTAAATCCATGCATGATTTCAACTATCGCATGTCATAATATTTATTCAACGCATTTATTTATTGAGCCGGAAACACGACACTATTTGTTCATTACCAACAAATTTTTAACGGCGGAAGGAATGAAATTATTGTATTGATATGCACGAAATTTTATGCATAACTTTTTTTCAGTCCCTCCATCGTGGATGTTACCGCCGCATGACGTCAGTATCCCGCTAGGAGGCTCCGCTGTGGTGCCGTGCTCAGCGAAGGGTTTCCCGCTACCACAAATCGAGTGGCAGAGACAAACTGGTGGGAATTTTATTGCCTAAATATTTATATAAGGTTATTTGTAATATTTTATTACTTTTGATGCAGCAGTGATAACAAGCTGGCGATTTCAACTTTAGCAAGTCTCTAATTAAGCTTGCATCATATTCCATAACTTATATTTATTTTGTCTGCAGCTTCAGGAGAATGGGCGTCTTTGGAGAGAATAATGGATGAGTACCAAACGAATCAGGCAACTGAAAACAGAAACTTTCCATCAGTTCTTGGAGATTCTCTGAGCCATGGATCTACCATAACAACGTCGAAACGAATTCCAAATACCAAGAACGAAATTTCACCGTGGAATATTGAAAATGATGGTTCCGATACCTGGAATAACCCTGAAGCTATATCACCATCATGGAATCCTGGAATAAATGAAGCTTCAGTTTGGAATACTGTAACCCACAAAAACTTAGATTGGAATCATAAAATGGAAGATTCTTCCTCATCCTGGATCACCGGAATGGAAGGATCCTCATCCTGGAAGGACCTAAGCGGAGAACCTGAGGTCGCAAGACGTCCGTCATCCCGGAAAGTTTTGAACGGAAGTCTCGTGGTCTCGGCCGCCGCCCGCAACTTCGAAGGCCTCTACCGCTGCCAGGCCAGCAACGGCGTTGGGTCCAGCCTCTCTAAAGTCATCACACTCACCATCCACGGTGAGGCTGCCACGCGTGTGATGATGGATATGTGCTGGCTGTATGCACGTGTGAGATTACATGGCGAATATTTTAAATAAGATTACATGGATACTCAATTGTATCTATTGTATCTGTGGTAGAAATAACTCAATTTGATTATCAAGGACATAGGTAGTTAGGCTAATGTGCGCGCTGTAGTCAATGCCGTGCAATGCTGTAACAGTATATTATTTTACTGCTATATCAACAATACCTTATTAGGCAATTGATGAGAGTAATACACTTCAATCGCAAAGTGAAATTATTTCACGCCAGTTTCCGAACCCGGGGAAATTAAATTAAATATCATTCAGATGGATGTGCGAAGTGAAATTACATTTAAACGCGTTTTTTTTTCAAACTTTTAAATTTGGCTCCACTTGAATGCACAGGAGAACAATTACTTCAAAATTTATAATTCGGTTTATTGAGAATTCGTAAATGAAACTAGACGTATGAGTGTGTGGTTACAAAAATGCTCCACCAGAGCCTCCATGGTTCCCGGAGTGGAATCACCGCGTGGTGCGGGTGGTAGTCGGTGCTCCTGTGGTACTCACCTGCAGGGCCCACGGCGACCCTCCCCTCACCCTCTCCTGGACCAAGGGTGGGGCCCCGCTGGTCCCCGCTCACAGGTACTCACCTCCTAGCAGGTACCAACTCTCCTGGACCAAGGGTGGGGCCCCGCTGGTCCCCGCTCACAGGTACTCACCTCCTAGCAGGTACCAACTCTCCTGGGCCAAGGGTGGAGCCCCGCTGGTCCCCGCTCACAGGTACTCACCTCCTAGCAGGTACCAACTCTCCTGGGCCAAGGGTGGGGCCCCGCTGGTCCCCGCTCACAGGTACTCACCTCCTAGCAGGTACCAACTCTCCTGGGCCAAGGGTGGAGCCCCGCTGGTCCCCGCTCACAGG